AAAGATGTTGTGTCCGTTGATAACTAAAAAGTAAATATTAAAAAAATTCTCTCTCTAAAAAAAAAAAGAATAGAAAATAGTAATGGATCATCATGCACAGGTCTGGTTCTCAGAGGATAGAAAGGGCAAGGGGCCATATCACTGAGAACTTTGGATTCCTTTGTTAGGAAATGGAAATAGAAAAGTATGGAAATAGACACAGAGTCTTTCATCACAAACAGAGTTCCAACTATGGCCATGTCAGAAACCATGGTGTATGTGGAGAGTGGGGATTAAAGAAATGAATCATGATCAGCTCTTTGAGAGACAGAACTGTATCTCCTGTAGGATACATGTGGTAAATCTGCCCAACCATGTTTTGCTAACTTTACTAAATGCTGCTGTAATGATCCTTACCCATGTAGTAAAAATTCCCTACCCTTCGCCAAAGTGCTATCCAAATTCAACTCTTGCCATATTGCTTCTGTCCTCAAACTGTGATGTTCGCATCTGTACAAAAGCCCTCAGAATTACTTATTACAAATCATTGCGTGATACTCTAATTCAATTCCTAGATGCCACAACAAACTTACTGAATCAAACAGTGAGATTCAGACTCAGAAATCTGCTTTCCCACTACTTCATGGATGAACATTTACTTGCTTATTTGCTTACTTGCTTACTTATATTACCCTCAGGAATGGGAGACCTGAACACCAATAATCTCACTTTAATTCATCTCAGCACATGAGTACTACTAATTTAATTGTTATAATTATTCTAATTACCAATAATTTCTTACAAGCTATCTAATATATTCTTTGTTATCCAAATGAAGAATTTCTCATCAAATGCACAATTTCACATTGGGGTCAAGAGAATTCTTTGTGAAGAATCCCCTGCTATTACAGGTAAGAGCATCCCTAGTCACTGCCTACCAAATATCAAATGATGCTCCCACATCACTGAGATAACTAAAGAGCCACACAGACTTCTGAATCCCCTCAATATGGAAGTCCCAAATGGCTGATGAACTGTGTTAATTCATGAACTCATAAGGTAATAGCCAATCCCTTCAATAATGAAAATGACCTTCTACAAAAGACAGTGAACTCGTGTGTCAGATTGGCTACGGCATGATTTGATTATATGTCCTTATGGATTGCCTGGACCACTAAACCTCAAACAATCCTCAGTAATAAATGAAAAAACAAGTACTGAACTTTTATTTCTTATTTCCTTATTATACAGACACAAATACTAGATGAAAAATTAATACTTAGGTGAATTGACAGGAAGGAGAACGAGGGAGAAAGAGAAAGAGTGAAAGGGCGAGAGACAGATAAATAATGATTCAGTACTAGTCAAAAGAAAAAAATAATCTTGAATTGATTTTGAATCATTCCTACCAATCTGCCCTGGTGAGATTCTATTTGTTTTTACTTCATTTTTGTACTGCAAAAATTAAGGATGCAGAATATAACTGCCAGATAATCTGAACAAATATATGGGTATCTCATTTTGATTCTAGAATGCTACTGTTACCACCTGGGATTCAGAAAGTCAAAGACCAACTAGTACTATTCTCCCTCCTGTGTTCCAGACCTGAGCCCTTGGTCCCCAGAATGTCCTAGTCCAAATATCAGTCTTTATGTCTAAGAATGACATCTGGCCACCAAAATAAACTAGTCTGGATAAGGCATGAACATGTGGCCTAATTGTGCCAGTTCCATCCCTTACTAATGTCTTTCTCTTATCCCTCCATCCACTGACAGGATCCTCCAATATAGGAAATGTCCCCTAAGCAGAGGCTTCACCCCTGAGATCCTATAGAAGCTAATAGCAAAATTTATAGATACTGTACATTTTTCCCACAATACTATTTTTTTTTCTGATTAATCCTTGACCTTGAGAGTTTCAAGACATTACAACTTATGCTACCTTGATGTCCATATAGAAGCCATATTCTATGGCCCCTTGATCCTTGGTAGGTATTCTTGGAACTACTTTCTTTGACTTCTCAGTACTTTTATAAATACTCATAAGCTTCACATGTTCTACTATAATTTCTGTCCAGAAAGAATAATCATTGCTGAAGAGTAGATAAAGAAGCAACCAGAAAATATTGGTTCTCCGGAAGAGGCCAGATACCACCCTGACAGCCCTGCTAAAAAGTATCAGAGAGCAACTGATGGCAAAGCAGACAGGCTGCATCAGTTCCCTTGGTACACTTCTTGGCCAGAACCTCTGGCTGAAGTCATCATGGACCAGTGTGGAACCATGTATTCTTTCAAGCAACAAATACTTAGTAAAGCTAGAAAGAAATCTGGGTCAAGCAGCATGGAACAACTTCATTGCAATTAAAACCTGCTCCCAAGAGTAAATTTTTAATCAATACTGGAACCTGAGAAGTAAAAATAAAGCTGGGAGACCCAGTCACTAAAGACAATGGTTAGAGATACTAGTTAAAAGAAATACTCAAGGCAACAACAAGAAGAGACTCATTCTAAGAAAAGATTGGTCTTCCTTGAAAGTTTCATACATTGGAAACTCAATAGGCCTATGAAATCAGGTGGGTTTGTATTTTAAAAAACCATTGTGTCTCCTAAAACCATGGACAAATAATTTCACTTCTTTGTCAATTAAGTCCCATAAATAATAATACCTACCTCCCAGTTAGACATTAAACTGCATTTAAACTAATTCACACAAAGACTACACACAGTACACCTTTCCTAGGAGCTTTTCCCTTGCCTTGCTCAAGTCTTTGGCAGGGCATGTTCAGGAGAGTGGGTATGGGTTCCATTCCTAACAACCTGGCCTTCACCCAACATCCACAAAGGGCTCCATACCTCCAATTGACTGTCCCAGTCTAGAGAGCTGTTAACAACAATATCAGGGTAATCAGGCCACACCTGCAGAGAGAAAAATAGTTAACAGCAATGCACTAGGCAATTTACCTAAGTTGGATTCCTAAGACTGTCAACCACAGTCCTAGAGGGTAATAATACTTTTGATTATCATGTAGGGTTTATCAATATAAAAGTGAAATCCACAAAGTCCTCAAACTATCAATAAATACTAACTAAAAAAATGGAAACTAATTACTTCAGTATCCACAAGAAAAGAGTAAAACACACACAACACACAAACTATGGCCCTCTCCCACGATGGAGACTAGTAGTCACCACTTAGATCATACCTTTCCCCAGACAATGCCTCCACCATTTGGATATTTGATGAAGACATCATCCTCCACTCCCCGAGTGAAGGCAGGGTAGGGCTTTGTCTCATTGCCAGAAATGGCTGGGTCCTGCAAGCAAAGCACAAGTCAGTTGGCAAAACAAAGAGAGAGATTGACAAGGGATAGAGAAAAAGAACTTCTTCATTGGGAGGTCCCTAGCTTCTACCTGCCCTCTAGAGTTTCTGGGAATCTCTGGAAGTATACTTTTCTTATTGTACTTGGAGTTCTCTGTTCTTCATATGGATAGAGGGACAAGAAAAGTGGTTCTCCACCAAAGCCCAGTCCTCCTCCCAACACACTCTATCCACACAGGCACAAAAGGGCTTACCAGGATGAGGATGACCCGCATCCCATCAGCCCTCATGCGATTGATCAGGGCTGGAAACCCAGCAAACTTGGGGCTGAGGGTAAAGTCCAGCTGGCGCTCCATGTAGTCAATGTCTGAGTACTGCACATCCTGGGGGAGGGCACAAGGAAACAGTGGCTGCTGGTGCTGAAAGTCCAGCTCCCAGAGGAGAAACACTCTCCCCTACTGATGGTGAATTCAAATGGCTTCTTTTGCCTCTTGCAAATTCTAGCTCTTTCAGTATGGAAACTGGAAAATTCATCTATGTACTGCAAAAATTAAGAATGCAGTACATTTTTTTCAAAATTTTACTCACACCAAAGATATAATATAAATCTGTAAAAATAGGATGATAAAGCCTCTATTTAATGGCTATTGTGAGAACATGTAAAATCACTAGTAGGGAAATTACTTTGTTAATGGCCATCATAAGAATTGATTGCATTTACCTTTCCCAGTGTTGCCCCTGATAAAAACAGTTCGTATTCAGAAGAAAAAAAAGTTAGCTACTCAGTTGTAATACAACCTGGATGGTAAGTTGGCTACAAAATAAGAAAAACAAAAAAATAAAAACAAATCTCATAATTACTGTAGTTATTCAATCCTAGAGGTAATTAGAAATAGTTGACTTATAAGAATATGGTACATTGCATGATGTACTTTCCATTAATGGAACAATTGTTAATAATTGAACAGTGAGTAGAATAAAATTCAATTTGAAACTGCTCTGCAGGATCAGTTATAATTATTCAATACTGCTTCTCCTCAAATAAATGATAAGAGTTTATTACCATGTATATTTCCTTTGAAAACATATCTAGAAGTCCTATATTCAGCCAGGGAGTAGCTCAATGCTGATAAAATAATGCTTGCCATACAAAAATATTGGAATTCATCAATACATAATCATTGAATTTGGGCTACTTTTTTTTTAATTACTACTATTATTCTGGAGGGAACTTTCATCTCATGGTACCAAGGACGGTTTAGACCAAATTTCTAAAAATCAATAAAATAAATGGAAGGAAGCATAGTATAGGAGAAAGGTTCTGGACCCTGCCCTATCTTCTCATTCTGAGTCACCGAGTCTACAATGCTATAATATGGAAGCTAGGCCCCACCTGAATTACTATCAGGATGGAACTCAATGTGTTATCATGTAAGAAAAAACTTTTGTGCTTTTCCTGAATCTCATAAAACCCAACAAATAAATCCAGACACAGAGAAGCATGAGTTGACTATGAACTTATAGAGCCAGTGCACCAATACTGAGACATACATAGGGGATCTGGGCAGCCACCATCTCATCATACAAGCTGGAAATCTCAGAATCATTCTCATATCCATATCGACACAGCTGGAACCCCAGAGACCAGTAAGGTACCATCACAGGTCGGCCAATCACCTAGAATACGGACAGAAATATTACTTCTCTTAGGAGTGACTCAAATGTAGTTGTACACCAAATAATATTTTTCTAGTGCCACAAGATATACATTCAACATATTCAAATCCAGAGAAAAACTCAGCAGATATAAAACTACTGGGATACCTTGAGAAAGCTTCATTCTAGACTAAAGCTCATTCTCTTGGAATTCTGTACAATCTAAATTTACTCTCATTCGTAGAAGTGGCCTAGGTTATTGCTGAAGAGAACAGATCCCAGAGGGAAAGTGCCTGGGTTAACAAACAGGCTCATGTCCTCCTGGTTCTGTTACCTTGAACAAAATTAAGGAATCTCTTCATGTTTCAATCCTTCACTGGTAAATTAAACATAATTGTAATGTCTTTCCCACACTGTTTTGATGAGGACTTAATGAATTAATACATGTAAATAGTCTAAAATGCAGTAAGAGTTTGATAATTGACAGAATTTATTTTTATTATCACAAAATGACTACTGTCTTCAAGAGTCCCAAATATTACCTCCATTACCACCACATTAGTCCCCCATCTTCACTATCATCACCCCATCACCATCACCACCCACACATTCCCCAGCATTTTCACCCCATCATCTTCCCTATCACCACACAATCACCATCATCAACATACCCAACATGCTCATAACTAGCATCCCCACCACTTTAACCAACAACACAGGGCCATCACAACTGTTATCATCTCTATCACCACCACTCATACCACGAACACTCCCACCATTACCCTTACCATCATTACTTCCTTCATCACCACTACTACAATCCTCACACATATGGTCATTTCTCCACCATAAACATTCCTCCACCACTCCTACCAATACCACTACACAACTCTCAGCACTGCGATCTTATCCTCTCCATCACCACTTCACACCACTAGGCTCAGTATTACCTCTGATGCAGTGTCTACTTTACCTAATGTGGAATAATTAGGCTATAATTTAATGGTTATTGGAAGGTACTTATACCTTCTTATTATATACTATGCCTGGCTCTAAGAAAAACCTTAGAGCCTAGGTCTACTTGTCAGAGTGAGTTTTAATAATGAATGAGTATTTGGGAACATGGAAAGTGCCATATAAATACTTGATGATCAGTTGAATTTCATCCTACCTCTGTGTACTGTTGAGTGACAAGCTCTGGAGTTGGCCCCAAGAACACATAAAAATCCAGAATTCCCCCTGTGGTACGATATGTCAGAGCAGGTGTGGGCTGGAAAGTCACATCTGAAAAGAT